TGAAATACATACCGAGACCCTGTCTCAAAAAAAAAGAAAGAAAGAAAGAAAAGAAAAGAACAGAAGAAGAGGTAGACCAATAAATGCAATCCTTCGCTCAGAGAGAGACAGATTTCCAAAATAATATTTAACATAGTTGGCACCATAGAAAACTAGTATAGAAATGTATATAACTAATCAACTGAGAGACAGCCCTGAAGCTGTTGTGGGCTTTTGCTTTCTTTTTTTTTTTTTTTTTTTAAGGATGGGAGGGAGAGATGAGACTGAAAAGAAAAGAAATGAATTATTAACCATGAAAATGTGGTCAAATTATTGTTACGACTTTTGAGCTTTTTAGAGCCATTTAAACCTAGATGGCTTGCACAAGCCTTTCCAAGTCCTTTTCTCCCTTCATGGGCAGTAAAACTGTACCATCAGCGACAGCGTCAAAGAAGAGAAACACGTCACAAGCAAATCTTTGAATTTCGGACTAACACAGATGTACCAAGAGCACACTGAACATTATTCTTGCTGAGAACATTAATTTGAACGTGCTTTATTTGGGGAGTCTTAAAGCTCAATACCTACCACTTAGGAAAAATAAAACTATCTAATTAACGGTGATAATATTTGCAATATACTAGTTTTGGTTTGTTTGTTTGGTTGGTTTTATGAGACAGGGTCATTCTATGTAGTTCAGGCTGGCCTTGAAATCACTATGTAGTCCAGGCTGACCTTGAACTTGCAGGGACCCTCCTGTCTCAGCATCCCAAGTGCTAGGACCTCAGACATGTGCCACCACGCCCTATGGTATATTAGTTTAAAACCCTTGTTCCCAAGCCCTTTACCAGACTAACTCCTTGTCTCTCTTCCTATAATGCAGATATCAGAATTATGTATTCTTTAGTTAAATTTAAATGCAAAATAAACCCCGTGTTTAGTGGAGGAGAAAACCTAAAATTCCCAAAGGAAGGCGGGATTATTTTTATGAGGAGCTACGGACAAGCCACCCGCTAAGAGGAATGCCAGAATACTTGCAGTCTGTACTGTAAATACATGGGTCTCGTGGGGTTTGTGGCGTGACCCTGCTACACCGCGTTATTTTCCTTTCCATTTCAATATCCTATAAATCTACTCACTATTTCCAGCGTTCCTTTAGCACAATTAAGTTTCACAGAAGGGAGCTGCTTTCCACTGGCGCTGGCCTCCTTCGCTTCCGACAGCGGGAGCAAACGACCGGTTGTTCCAAAAAGAGCCATCGAGAGAGAATTTATCCCTGCACTGATGATAAAAATATCCAGCCTTCTCCGCCCCTCCCAGCCCCGTGCACGGATGCCGACAGGTGGCTCCCGCGGGATCAGACACCGAACAGCCTCGGCAAGGGCGCCCTGGGTCCCGCGCAGGGGTCACGTGTGCTTTGCTCCAGTATCCGCGCCGCGGCTAATCCGGCAGCGAAAAGCGGACAGCCTGGGGCCGCTCGCGTCCGGAGCTTCCCCGCAGGGCTCCCCAAGCCTGGACTGGACCCTGGCAGCGTTCAGAAGAAGAGCTCTGCAGGGAAGCTGCTTGACCGACAGCAATGGAAATCACTGCACCAGATCCAAGGGCTTCCTTTGCTTGCAGTCGCACTCACTGACTTGCGGTTCTGTTTTGTCTTCTTTGAGAAACACGAACCTTCCTCGGCAACACTTTCAAGTCATGCCCCACCCACAAAAAAAACTATGTAGCTACAGACACAGACAGGATTTTTTTTTTTTTGGTGAGACAGTCTTGCTATACAATTCAGGCTGGCCTGTGTAGCCCAGGTTGGCCTTGAACTCTCAGCAGTTCTCCTGCCTCAGCCTCCTGAGTGCTGGATCACAAGCAGGCACCACCATGCCAGTCAGGATTTTGTTTTCAAGTCTGGGAAGACGGACAACGGCTAAGCAACTTGGACTGAAAAACAGACTTGCGGATACCTGTGGCTCTCCATGCCCCTGGCATTTCCTCTGGTCGCAAATGGGACATTGTAACGGCAGCCATGTATCGGATGCCTTAATTTACAGCCAGTCCACAACCTGGCAAACAGCGCTGAATTCTGAGCCAGCCGTGAGCCACAGGCTCCAAGGTCTACCGAGAACACAGGGCCCGGGCGGGCCGCCTCCTCCATCCCTTCCTGTCCAGCAACAACACTGGGGAAAGAACCAGAGGAGCTGAGGACAGGAACCGTTCGTGTATCTAGAGGACGTCCCAGGTACCTGCTAGGGACTTCTTGTCTACCTGCTGAGAAATAAACCCCAGAATACCAAGGTATAATTTTTTTGTTTGTTTGGTTTAGGGTTTTTTGTTTTGTGGGGCTTTTTTTTGAGCCAGGGGTCTCACTATGCAGTTCAGGCTGGCCTTGAGCTCTCTTTGTAACCCAGGCTGGCCTTGAACTCCCAGCAGTCTTCCTGCCTCAGCTTCCTGAGTGCTGAGATTACAAGTGGGCACCACCACGTCCAGCCAAGGTATAGTTTTAGATAGCTTCTTACCCTCTAAAATTTACCAAACCCCTAAAATAGTACCACATTGATAAGACGAAAGGTAAAACTGACTTTCAAAAATTATTTTCATGTTACTCAGTCCGAGATAGTTAACTCTCTGGTTTGATGATTTTAAAATTTTTCACATCCCACTTCTTGGAGGAAATACAAACTCCCTCACAGCGCAAGCAAACGTGGCCAGCATTTTCCAAGTTCTCGGCAATTTCAAACCACCTGGCTGCAGTGGACAGAAATGCATACTGCTGACCGCCGTACAGAGGAAAGTGCGGGTGACGCGGCTGACAGAGGGTTCAGGAAGACCAGGTGAGGTTAGGGGAGAAGGACCGGGGGCCGGGATGTCAGGCAATTCCCAGCGGCTCGCCAAACAGAAGTCTCCCCATCCCGTTTTCCTGTACGGTGTCTCGTGTCTGACTCCTCACTTCCTCAGCGGTCTGATAATTATGAAATTCTAAATAACGTGTCATCTCCCTCGCAGCACACCCGTGGACGCAAAGCTCCCATCAACAGCGGAGATGCCTCCTAAAGCCCTGCTGATGACTTCCTGCGTGCGTGCCTCACAAACCACAGAGCGCGCTCTTTGGGAACAAGGAACCTCTCTCCTCCGTGAGAGATGCAGGGTGTGTGCGTGCGTGTGCATGCACGTGTGTGTGCGTGTGTGTGTACGCACACATTTCAAAACAGAATTAACAAGTAATATCTGACAGTGATGAGTGGGCACCAATTTGCCTTTTATCACCACTGAAGGGTGAAATTTAGTCTTTTCACCATGCTGATACTAAGATAGAAAAGAAGAATTTCTCCTCGTCGTATCTTTGCCGCTTTGGCGTTCGCTGTCACAGACTCACACTGACAGAACTACCACAGCCACGGTTACATGGAGGGCCTCTCTCCCTGTAACCCAGCGTGCGACCATCCCACCTCCGCCCCCACGCGATCCTTGCGGTATCCTACAAGCCAAAGGCCAATTTAGGAAAATAAAAAATTCTACGGGTTAGGAACGAGGCCCCCGATACACAGGGGGGCCTAAAGGTATCTGCTAAGGGAGTCACGCTCTGCAGAAGGCTGTTTTCAGCGCTGCCAGTCCACCAAGCGTGAGATACTCTACCCCGCCTTTTGCAAGGAGCTCCCTCCTCTGTATCCCGTTGGTTTCAACTCTGCAGGGTGAGCCACCCTGTCACCCCACGGACCCCGGCCGGGTGGAAGTGATGCTGAATCAGCCAGCAGCGAGGACGGATGAAAATCCAGCAAAGCAGCCCGTGAGGGTCTCTCCTGTCCCTCAGGGGACAGGCTCTTGCTGTGCCCTTCCGGGGAGTGAGATCCCCGAGTCTCTGGAGTTCCGACATGCAGAAGCTAAGAACAGGTCGGTCACACGAATTAAACCGGCCGTCGCCGTGCGGGTGCTCAGAGGACTGGGCTGGAGCTCAGCCGCCGGGCAACTCTCACACATGCCCAGCTTTCGCTCAGCTGCCGCATTTCAAACAAAAACTGGTCAGGGCATCTTTTGTAAAGGAAGATTTTTATTTTTTCTCCCCTCACGTGGGGATGTACACCTGTCAGATGCCACGTTCTAAAATGTTCAAATGAAAGCAAGGCAAGTATTGGAAAGGGCTTAATGCATGTGATATTCTGACCCAGACTGGGACTAAAACATTCCAATCTGGTCAAAGAATCAAGTAGAAAAGTCTGCTTTGAGTTTTCTATTAAAGAAGGAGATATGAAAGTTCAGGCTGGCCTTGAGCTCACTTTGTAGCCCAGGCTGGTCTCAAACTCGCAATGATCCACCTGCCTCAGCCTCCCGAGTGCTGGGATTACAGGCGTGTACCACCACGCCCGGCTGCTCTGCTGCTTCTTTGTAAGACTGCTTGTGATGTTGAGGACGCTGAGTAGCTACTTTGAAGATAACAATATACTGTGGATTAACTATTGTTATTCTCTTATTACTTTGTTACAAAATTTGGTTTTATTTGTTCATAAAATAAAAAAGAATAAAACATAATAAAAATTCTGTCATGCTGCCTAACACCTTCCCATAAATGTTTACTTTTTTTTTTTTCTTTTTTTATCTTTTTGAGATAGGGTCTCACTATGCAGTTCAGGCTGGCCTTGAGCTCACTTTGTAGCCCAGGCTGGTCTTGAACTCGCAATGATCCTCCTGTCTCAACCTCCCAAGTGCTGGGATTACAGGGGTGCGCCACCATGCCCGGCTAAGCATAAATGTTTAGATTGCATCATTTTTTTGTTAAATGCAAAAATGTTCAATAAAGGCCAACATACAATTCCAAAGTCAAAAGCAGAATACTAATCTTAAAATACATAGTTTATCAAATATGTTTATTTCAGTAAACTGCACTTACTAAATATCAAGATCCCACCGCACATAAGGCAGGGACTGTAACAGGTGTATTTTACTTTGTTAGTTTGTACACTATTGAAGTTGATTTTACTGATTCTAAATTGTTTTACCACTTGCACACAAGCACCATGGGGCCCATGTGTACAAACCTGGTTCTGATTTGCTGGAAGCCGCGGAGAATATGGGTCCTGTGGTTCCACGCATCAGCGCTGAGGTCCTCATTCCGCAAGCCTTCAGCCAGGAAATCTTCAGCATCTAAAGGAAGAGGAAAGAAAGAGCAGTCATCAAGACTGGACACGGTGGTGCACGCCTGTCATCCCAGCACTTGGGAGGCTGAGGCAGGAGGATCGCTGTGCTGGGCTATGCAGTGAGATCAAGGTCAACCTGACCTGCATAGCTAGACCCTGACTCAAAAGATAAATAAACAAACAAACAAACAGAAAGATAGTCATCAGAAAAAAGGCATAACAAGGGAGAGAGGAGGAAGCTTGCAAGACTCAGGAATTAGCACTGTTGTTTTGAATAAACTTAATGTCATGGAACTGTACGCTTTTTCTTTGTAGCCCTGGGGATTGGACACAGGGCCTTGTGCAAGTTCAGCAAGCACCACACCTCTGAGCCACACCCCCAGCTCTTTTCAAAGTTTTATTTTGAGATAGGTCTCATTAAGTGCCCAGACTGGCCTTGAACTTGCAGTCCTCCTGCCTCAGCCTCCCGAATAACTGGGGTCACAGGTGTGCACACCATGCCTGGCTGAACTGTATACTTAAGAATAGTTAAGGCAGCAAATTTTATATTATGTGTATCTTACACAATAATTAAAACATTACATATATCTATGAGTGACACGCTCTAGTAATCGAAGACCTTGTGATGAATTTAGAAAGCCAATGCACATATTAACTGCAAGACGTAACTTTTCTAAACCATTTTAAAGAAGCATGTACATATTAATGATCATGGCTGGCAGAGGGCGGGCTGTCAATTTCATAAAAATGTAAGTATTACAAATAAGTCACAGAAGGTTACAGAGCAATGGAAGCTAGAGAATAAATGCCGTAATGCCTCTGAAATAAAAAACAGCTCTGAACTGCAAAACCCAGAAGCAAAGGGCAGGCATTCCAAGAGGAACATTAATTAGAAGACACATCATCATGGATGACAATGACAACGCGGAGGAGTGGCGCAGCCTTGCAGGAAAGAAAAACGTGCTCCCGGAGCAGGAAACGGCAACGACAGGAACAGATGTTACAGAATAGGGTGTGATGGAAATGCATCCAGCGGAAAGAGTCATTTTTTGGGAAAGGAAAAAGTTGGGCATTTTCAAAAATAAAGTACACTGAAAATGATTAGAGTTGCCAAAAATAGCTGCATATTTTCATTCTGAAGAGGCATAGAAATAATATGCTTAAAATTTTTGCCTTCAAAAATGTGCCAGCTGTTGGGAGGCTGAGGCAGGAGGATTGAGGCAAGTCTGAGACCAGCCTGGGCTACAAAGTGAGTTCAAGGCCAGCCTGAACTGCATAGCAAGACCCTGTCTCAAAAAACAAAACAAAACAAAAATGTGCCTATATGAAACTTTATCATATAGAGTAGATGAATTTGTACAAATGAGTTACCTAACTACATTTTGGTTTTACATTCACACCATTCAGTAATACGAGGCCAAAAAGTCTTAGATAACCATCGCTAGGACCTTTGATGAGGTACAAAGTCCTGGAGACTGAAATTTTCATGAAGAACTGCTGTTAACATCTAAGCCCTGCAATCCATCTAACAGGGTCCTCTGAGCGCTAAAAATCAAGGAAATGGAAAGTTGAACTAAAAATCAAAAAGAAATGGCATCCGAAATTAGATGAGTGTAATATAACATTGGGAGAAGAAAGGACACAGCGTACACGATCGTGTCCAGAGACACAGACAAAAGCATTTGATAAAATTCCACAGCCCTTCATGATCAAACCACTCCACAAACTGGGACCAGAAAGAAACTTCCTCAGGCTGATGAAAACGTTGACAAAACCCCCCAGCTGGGTGCGAAGAACGTAGCTCAGTGGGAGTGTTTATGCTTGGCATGTGCAAGGCCCCGGGTTCAATCCCCAGCACCCGAACAAAACCCACAGCTCCTACTGTACTTAGCATGCGATGAAATGCTAGTGATGACAGCCCAGGTGATTAGACAAGAAAATGAAGCTTTAAAAAGCCCAGATTGGAAAGGAAGGAAGGAAGGAGAAAACAACCTCTATTTGCA